AGTGTTAGCTGGTGGCAGTGGCCACGGCATTCCTGAGTGCCTCGCCCCACTCTTCCCAGGCAATGGCATTGGCGATGTGTGTGAGGATGACTTTGACAATGATGCAGTGGTCGACCCCCTGGATGTGTGCCCTGAAAGTGCAGAGGTAACACTCACAGATTTTCGGGCCTATCAGACCGTCGTCTTGGACCCTGAAGGGGATGCTCAGATTGATCCAAACTGGGTCGTGCTCAACCAGGTACTAGGGCAGTGGGCTGGGTGGGCGCTGTCAGACCAAACTCCCAGGCAGGGCCTAGGTGGGCAGCGCACCTGGATCAGGTCTTTCTTCTTTATTGCCCATCACCAGGGCATGGAAATCGTTCAGACCATGAACAGTGACCCTGGCCTGGCAGTTGGTATGTGAGGGATACCCAGTTCAATGCCTTCCAAATAGAGGAATCTGACAGGGGCAGAGGGTGGGGACAAGCTGGCCACACAGACAGCAGGCATCCCTTCCCACCCCCAGTGCACAATGGGCCACTAGTAGCTCTGCTGCCCTGATCTTGATCCCACACACCCACCCAGGGTGGGGACAAGCTGGCCACACAGACAGCAGGCATCCCTTCCCACCCCCAGTGCACAATGGGCCACTAGTAGCTCTGCTGCCCTGATCTTGATCCCACACACCCACCCACCCCTAGGATATACCGCCTTCAACGGTGTGGACTTTGAAGGCACCTTCCATGTGAACACCGTGACCGATGATGACTACGCAGGCTTCCTCTTCAGCTACCAGGACAGTGGCCGCTTCTACGTGGTCATGTGGAAGCAGACGGAGCAGACCTATTGGCAGGCCACACCTTTCCGGGCTGTTGCCCAGCCTGGGCTGCAGCTCAAGGTCCCACAGCTGCCCAGATTCCCCAATCCAGGACCCTTTCCCAAAACCTCTCCCCCTACCTGAGTGGGAACCCTCTTACTCAGACATTGGGTCTGGAGGTTGGCTCCCCGGGGCTTCAGAACATTCTCCTGACCACCTGGACTTCCTTTCCCACCTGTACTTACCAACCTGTTGTCTCTGCCCTCATTTGGTTCCTGCGGTTGACCCACTGTCTTTGCCAATGCCCTTCAGGCAGTGACTTCAGTGTCTGGCCCAGGTGAGCACCTCCGGAATGCCTTGTGGCATACTGGCCACACCCCTGATCAGGTACGACTGCTGTGGACTGACCCACGAAATGTGGGCTGGCGTGACAAGACCTCCTACCGCTGGCAGCTGCTGCACCGGCCTCAAGTTGGCTACATTCGGTGAGGGGACAGGCTGCCTCCTGAGGGACCCCAGGCTCAGCCTTTCCTTCCCTTTTAGCTGGGACTCACCAGTGACCCCTCTACTCCGTGCCTTGGTGCCATGGGCCCAGACTGGGACCACTTCTCTCCATCCTCTTTAACCACAGACACGCTGCCTCAGCCCTGCTTTCTTCCTAGCATCAGGCGGCCTGGGCTCTAGTGCTGATGACATATTGGCAATGTTGGGCAAGTCCTTCCTTTTCTGTGCTCCATTTCCACTCAGTAAAACAAGGGCAACTCTGGGAGCCTCCAAGCCCAGGCCAGTCTGCGGAGAGGGACATCATATCCAGCCCTTTCACTGGGTGGGACAGCCCAGAAGCTGCCTCAAGGGGTCTGGCCTGGAAGGGACCATCATTGACAGACGTGCAAACCAAGCCCCAGACTTCACAGCTCTTCAGAGCAGGGCTGAGGCCTCTTAGTTCAGCACTTTGCATTTCCTAGTTGGTGGGGATGACAGGGAAGGGAGAGGAAATGGCCAAGAGCCCAGAGTTCAGACACTGGGGTTGGTTTCCCTTTAAGGTTCCTGGGGCTGTGGGGCGCCAGGGCAAGGGATAAGGGAGGGGTGGACCAGAGCCTGGGAAGCGGGTGACTTCACCCCCCAGCCCATTGTGTTCATCGTCATGGCAACCCAATCCTCGCTTGGAATGCGGCTGGTGCTTTGAGATGCAAAGGGGGCTGGACAAAGAGCCAGGGGCCCCAGGCCTGAGAAAAGCACCCCCTTCCCTCCCCTTTCCTTCCTTCTCTCAGGCCTGGTGAGCTAAGCTAAGGGGGGTTGGGGATGAGCAGGGCCCCAGCATAGTGGCACAGTGCCCGCTGGTACCCTGGCACCAACGGAAACCCCTATCCTGGACAGAGTGAAGCTCTATGAGGGTCCCCAGCTAGTGGCGGATTCTGGGGTGATCATTGACACATCCATGCGAGGGGGGCGTCTTGGTGTATTCTGCTTCTCCCAAGAAAACATCATTTGGTCCAATCTCCAGTACCGATGCAATGGTGAGGCTCTCTACCCCTATCAGCCTGACCTCTCGTGCCCTCATGGGAGAGTCACATCCTTGACTTGAATCGTTTCTCCTTCCTCAGACACAGTTCCCGAGGACTTTGAGCCATTCCGGAGGCAGCTGCTCCTTGGAAGAGTGTGAAGAGGTGGCTACCAGATTCAAAATCCTGATTTTAGACCCTTTGGCCTTGGGATCCATCCCAGTGGCCCCCGGGTCTAATCTACAGCCCCTCAGCCAAACGCACACCCTCCTCTGGCACCACCAGGAGTTCAGCCCCAGAGGAGTGGTGACTGTTGAGATGGGAAGTTTTCAAGGGGCATTTCTCAGGCGCTAACCCCAGGAAAGATAAGAGCATATTACCATAAAGTTCCAGTTGTTTTCTAAGCCAGTGCAGTTGCTTATTTTAGGGATTTTCCGGGGTAGTGACCAATGAAAAAGGATCCCGAGAAGGGTAAGGGAGCGGGCTGGTAGGATGGAAGTTAGAGGAAGTTTGGCTGAGCTTGGGGCACGGTGAGGCAGGTGCTGGGTGAGGGTTAGGGGAAGGATGGGGCTGGGGTAGGTGAAGGATGAGGTGCTGGTCAGAGGGTGGTTAAAGTTCTCCCAGCCCCACTTACTTACGATGGCAGCAGCGACACTCCAGTCAATAGATCGGTCAGGATCGAGAGCCAGGAGGGCTGGGGCTGCCCCGCTCGGGGTGAACGGGGGGCCGGGGGGCCGGGAGGGCCGGAGGCCGGGACGAGTGCAATATTGGCGGGGGAAAGAACAACACTGCACCGCGTCCCGTCCCTCCCGCCCGCCCGGGGCCCGGGATCCCGCTCCCCACCGCTTAAAGCGGGACCAGCCCAAGGACCCGGAGCGCTCTGGGAAGTTGAGTTCACCTGGGAGGCCAGAGGGACTTGGCGGCCGGAAGAGGGGGAAGGGGACGGGAAGGGGAGGTGGGGGGAGAGGGAGAAGGCCGAAGGGACGACACCGGTATCCCGGAAGGCCGCTTTCTGACGCCGGCGTTGTGCGCGCTTGCTCTTTAAATACTCCGACTGCACGGCGCGGAGCTGTCGCCATGGTAACGCGTATCCCAGCAACTGAACTAAAGGCTGTTGCCTGGCAACTCCAGGGTTGAAGTTTGGAGGCCGCCCACCTAGATACCCGCGCGTTCTCTAGCGGCGGCTGGAGGGCTTCCCCGCCCCTCCCTCCGCGCCGGGCGCTGACGTCCCGCCGGGCGCCGCACAAAGCCGCGCCAACCCGGTGGAGAGCTGTTGTCCCAGGCTTCCCGCCGCACCGGTGTGTTTAAGTTAATTTTTCAGCTGTATTCATCGGGGCTAGGAACTGTGTCCCTAACGCGGATGTAGCTGCTTCCGTTGGCCGAGACCGCAACCCAGCACCTCCGGCGGGGGCCAGACACCCTAAATTCCGTGCGCCGCTGTGAACACCTCTCTGGTCCCAGATACTTCTGTCCTTTAATCTGTCTCGGTTCTCCAAAGTGGCGCGACCTCATACACTTTTACCATGTCCTTACCTGCTCCAAATACCACTCTGCTCCCCCAAAAGATAGCCCACGGTCCCCCCAATACCATTCGGCGTCCTACCTATTATCTGACTCCTAAATACGTAACCTGTCGCACCGCCCCCCACTTTTCCGATGTACTTTCTTACACGCCTCGCCCACCTTTCCGCGTACCTCAGGATCACACCCACTTAGCGCCATTTCCTGCAGACATCGCCCCACGCGCCCGAGTCCCTCCTACGGTCCCCAGCCTCTCCGTCGATGGCGCACTGCATTCCTCCCCTTCTCTGTCCCAGCCACTGGCTCTTTTCCCCGGGGCGCTGCCCTCCCCAGCCTCTCCCGGCCCCGGGTTAGGCAGCGCCGCCGTCCAACCTCCTCCCCGACCCGGGCAGCCTCCCCACCCGTCCGGGCAGGCGTCGTGGGCTCCGTGCGGCCACCAGAGGGCAGGAGAGCCCGGCCACCGCGGGCGGCCCGCTACCCGGCGCAGGGCTGTGGAGGGAAGACCTAGAGTTCGGCGGTTTCGCGGTTTCGTCCTTTAAGCGGAAATTTCTTCCCCGCTCCCTTCTCGGGAGAAAGCCAAGGAAGGAACTCAGTCTGCTGGAGAGTCCGGCAGGGGCGGGGCTGTGGGTTCGGTTCGGGGTAGAGCTGCAGAACGGGACAGGGAGCGGTGAGCAAGGTGGGGCTATTCCGGGAGGAGGAGGGGGGTCCAAAGCCAACACCTAGTCCGCTCCTCACAAGCCTCCCCTTCTCTTCTCAGCCCCAGAGCGGGGCTCCGAGGGCCCCAGGGAGCCCTGGGGTGGGGGGCTGAGGGTGAGCTTCCCAGCCGTAACCTAGCCCGCTTTCTCTGTTACCTTTCTAACCTTGGCTGTTGCCCTGGGGCTAAAACTAAGGTCTTGGGGACCCAGGTCCCAGACTCCCCCACTTTCACAAACACTCACACGCACACACACCCCGCCTTCTGGAGCCAGGGAGTGGTTGGTGAAAAGGGGAGGCCAACTCGAGAACAAACAGGTTGTCAGAGAGTTGAATGGTTGGAGTCCATGTGCCCTACCTGAGGGGACAGGAATGGTTGGGGAGGAGGAGGAAGAGAGAGGAGGTCGGGAATGGAGGAGGGGCGGGGTTTTGTCACCTGTCACCTGCTCTGGCGGGCGGGGGGGGGGGGGGGGGTGGACCAGTATAAAACAGCCGGCACCTGTGCTGCTCCACCTCACACGCACGCAGTGCCCAGTGCCGGCCGCAGTCTGGTCTGCCCCCTCCCCACCCGGTTCACCACCACCATGACACCAGGCATCCAGGCCCCTCGCTTCTTCCTGCTGCTGCTAGTCCCGGTGCTGACAGGTGAGGGGCACAAGGTGGGGAAGGGGCTGCCCTGCACAGCCTTTCTGTGGGTTTTGTTTCCTGGCAGATGGCACCCCACAAGGCAGAAATGGCAGACAGGTGGCTAGTCTGTGCCAGAATAAAGGAGACAGGCTAAGAGACGACCCCCCAGGAGAATGGGTGCCAGGGGCCGGTGAATTTCCTGAAGAGAAGTGCAGGGTGGGGGTGGGAGTGGGAGCGGCAGGGGAGGTACATCTTAGGAGTGGAGAATGGCTAAAGCGGAGCGGAGGGTGTGGGAAGAGAGGGAGGCTGCAGCTGGGAGGGAGGAGGAGGGCTGACTCAAGGGCCTGCTCCCCAGATCCTCCTAGCATGACTTCTCCAAGTGCTAGAGGAAGTATTTCCTCCTGGTTCTGATTTACCCCTGAACCTCATTCTCAATTTCTTACAGCTCCTCCCATCACTCCCTCACCAATGGGTCCTACAACCTCTGGCCACACAAGCCCCTCGGGAAATACACAGACTGTGACTGCCCGAAGCAGCCCAATGTCCAGGTTCACTGACAGAAGTTCTGTGAGCACAACCAGCAGCTCACTCCCCACTCACAGTCCTGCCTCAAGTGTGGTCACCACTCCAGCTCCCGATGCCACCTCTTCCCCGGCCACCAGCTCTGCCTCAAGTGTGGTCACCACTGCAGCCCCCGATGCCACCTCTTCCCTGGCCACCAGCTCTGCCTCAAGCTCGGCCACCACTGCAGGCCCCGGTGCCACCTCTTCCCTGGCCACCAGCTCTGCCTCAAGCTCGGCCACCACTGCAGGCCCCGGTGCCACCTCTTCCCCGGCCACCAGCTCTGCCTCAAGTGTGGTCACCACCCCAACCCCCGGTGCCACCTCTTCCCCGGCCACCAGCTCTGCCTCAAGTGTGGTCACCACTCCAGCCCCCGGTGCCACCTCTGCCCCGGCCACCAGCTCTGCCTCAAGCTCAGCCACCACTGCAGCCCCCGATGCCACCTCTTCCCCAGCCACCAGCTCTGCCTCAAGTGTGGTCACCACTCCAGCCCCCGGTGCCACCTCTTCCCTGGCCACCAGCTCTGCCTCAACCTCGGCCACCACTCCAGCCCCCGGTGCCACCTCTTCCCCGGCCACCAGCTCTGCCTCAAGCTCAGCTACCACTGCAGCCCCCGATGCCACCTCTTCCCCGGCCACCAGCTCTGCCTCAAGTGTAGTCACCACTGCAGCCCCTGATGCCACCTCTTCCCCGGCCACCAGCTCTGCCTCAAGTGTGGTCACCACTCCAGCCCCCGGTGCCACCTCTTCCCCGGCCACCAGCTCTGCCTCAAGCTCGGCCACCACTCCAGTCCCCGGTGCCACCTCTTCCCCGGCCACCAGCTCTGCCTCAAGCTCGGCCGCCACTGCAGGCCCCGGTGCCACCTCTTCCCCGGCCACCAGCTCTGCCTCAAGCTCGGCCACCACTGCAGTCCCCGGTGCCACCTCTTCCCCGGCCACCAGCTCTGCCTCAAGTGTGGCCGCCACTCCAGTCCCTGGTGCCACCTCTTCCCCGGCCACCAGCTCTGCCTCAAGCTCAGCCACCACTCCAGTCCCCGGTGCCACCTCTTCCCCGGCCACCAGCCCTGCCTCAAGTGTGGCAGCCACTCCAGCGCACAAGGGCACTTCTGCCAAGGCTACCACCACCCCAGTTGGCAAGGGCACTCCATCCTCAGTTCCCAGCCACTCTGATACTCCCACCACCCCTGCCAGCCACAGAACCAGGACTACAGCCAGTAGCACTAGCCGTAGCATAGTGCCCCTCACCTCTTCCAATCATAGCTTGTCCTTCTTCTTCCTGTCCTTTCGTATTTTGAACCTCCCGTTTAACTCTTCCCTGGAAGATCCCAGCACTAACTATTACCAGGTGCTGCAGAGAAACGTCACCGAATGGGTGAGTAACTGCCTTCCTCCACGCGCTCCTTCGCAGCAGCTTCAGAACTGCTCGAACCCGTGCACCAAACTTAGTACCTACCCTCTCCCCCCAGATTTTGCAGATTTATAAGCAGGAGAATTTTCTGGGCTCCTCTAACGTCAAGTTCAGGTACAGTCTGGGTGTGGGCTCCGTCTGGGTGGGTAACTGTTGTTGTGATTGTGGGGAAGGACTGGTCACTGGTGGTTGGGGGAAGTGCCCAGAGCTGGGACCTGCACCTGAATTGCTCATTTCCCTGTGAGCAGGCCAGGATCTGTGGTGGTGGAATCAACTCTGGCCTTCCGAGAGGGCACCACCAATGCCAACCAGGTAGCGGCACAGTTTCTTCTGGATGAATCACATGAAAAGAGATACAGCTGGGTCATCTCAAGACTTATTGGTGAGGCCACTCTCCTCGCCTCAGGCCAGCGCGAAGCTTCTAGGGCCACTCACTCCCCAGCATCCGGATTCCTGCTGGATTCCTGCTTCTCCACGGGGAGGGGCGGGGGTAGAGGGGGAGGTCCCCTCCTTTGGGAAACTGCCCTGATGACTGACCGCTTTTCCTTTCAGTGGATGATGTGTCATTTCCTTCCTCTTCCCGGCCTGGGTCCGGGGTACCTGGCTGGGGCATTGCCCTGCTGGTGCTGGTCTGTGTTCTGGTTGCGCTGGCCATCATCTATCTCATTGCCCTGGTAAGTGTTCAGTCTTCAGCTCTACCCAGAGTCGCCCAGCTAGAAGGAACTCCGTGGCTCCCCCTAACCTCCTGTCTCCCCCAGGCGGTGTGTCAGTGTCGCCGGAAGAGCTGTGGGCAGCTGGACCTCTTCCCAACCCGAGATGCCTACCATCCTATGAGCGAGTACCCCACCTACCACACCCACGGGCGCTATGTGCCCCCTGGTACCAAACGTAGCCCTTATGAGGAGGTGAGGACGGGCCCCACGGTGGAGGGAGAAGAGGCTTTGCCTGGGAAGGGGGCCGGCAGGGGTACTTGCAAAATCCAAAGAACTTAGAAAAGGTGAGGAGTGACATAAAGCAAGCAGTGGAGCGCCTGGCAAGGAGGTGGGTTGTCAGGAAAGTTCTAGGGGAAAGGCCTGGGGAGACCATGGAAGAAAGGGGACCTCATGAGGGAGTGTCCCCACTACCAGGAGAGCATTCGCTGGTCAGCGGGGCTGGGGCCCTGCTGTGGCTGGGATGCCCAGAGGTGAAATGGGTGGGCACCCGTCACACAGGACTGACAAGGAGTGAGCGCCTGTCCCCCCACTCTTCTCCTAAGAATGGAGGGTAGGTTGGGGAATGTTGGGGGGGGTCTCCGATTCCAAGGCTGAAGTCTCACCAAGCCAGGTGAGCCTGGGTGGGGTTCTTGGGAGTCTCGGGGAAGCAAGGACCCTCCTCCTCCTTCCCTCCCCTGGCCTTCTCTGCAGGACTAGTAAATAATTACTTGATCACCTGGGGCAGGAACTCCAGGTGGGGGAGGGGACTTTTCTTTCCTTGACCCCATTTCCCCAATCCTGGGACTTCCTTCTCCCTGTTTCACACAGATGAGCACACACGCCTTCGTGGGCTGGAAGAGCCTAGAATGGAGGGAGACGGGCAGGAGGGGACCGTGAGGGGGCTGATGAGAACCAAGGGGAGGGAGTGCAGGGGAGCAGAGGGAGGAGGAAAGGCCCTGTTTACAGTCACCTGGCTGCTGGTGGTGCCTGGCAGGTGCTCTCTCCAAATTAACCCTTCGAGAGCTAGTCAGGCTCCCAGACCACTACCCCAGCCTGGGTGCCATCCAGGGGCCCTGGGGTGGCGGCTTCTCCCAGGGAAGCTTCTGCCCGTCAGCCTGGACCCCTTCCCCCCTCACCTAGGTTTCTGCAGGCAATGGTGGCAGCAGCCTCTCCTACACGAACCCAGCAGCCACTTCTGCCAACTTGTAGGGGCACGTTGCCCGCTGAGCATCCGGCCAGTGGCCTCTGTCATGGTCTTGGTCTTCACCACCAGTGCCCCCTCCCCCTTTTTCTGGACTGGTGAGCTGGGAGTTCCGGTGGGCTTGCTCACAGCCTCCTGCGCGTCTCTAACCCATCTCAGCCCTGGGGGAAGCCCATCCTGGCTCCTGGGGATGTGCCTGGGGCAGTGGCTCCAGGACGGGCCCGGAAAGCCCCCAAGTGGAGTGGGAACTTGTACATGGCTGAATAAAACATGGGCCTCCCCCGCTCTGGCTCTAACTTCTGATCTGTCATCTGTGACCCTCAGACAGGAGGGGAGATCAGGATGTATGTGTGTGGGGGTCTGGAGGGGACTTTGGGGGAGGAGGCAGGGAGGAAAGAAGGCCAGGAGCAGGGTTCATTTGGGCAGCAGGGGGTGTGGAGAGATGACGTTGGGTCAGGAGTGGCTGGTGGAAGAATTTGAGTCACCTCTCCCCCATCGCTGGCGGCACAAGAGGATGGCGGCACAAGAGGAAGGAGGAAACGAAACCTAAGTTAGGTTTCTGGCCTGGGCCTGCTCGGCCTGCGCACCCATGGCTCGCCCCTGGTTTCACCCTGGCTGGGGGCTGGCCTGCCCGCACCCTCTTCTCCCCTTGGCACGATGCCCTCAGGCAGTTCTATTCTGAGCTGCTCGGGTGTGAAGTAAGTCCTCAGGCAGCGATAACAGCCACAAAGTCAACACGGGATCGCAGCCCCAGAGTCAACACGGCCTGATAAGTGTTAGATCCGGGGCTGGAGCCAAGCCCAGTCCCCTCCCTGGCCATGGGCCCCCCCACCCGCCCGCTGGCTCTGGGGTCTGCTCCCCGCACCCTGGGAATGGGGAAGTGGTTCCGGTTCCCTGCCCCTTTGAGCTCAACCACATTCCCTCAGGGTGTGGGAGCTGGTGTCCCAGCCTCATCAGGGGACACAGGAGGTCACCAGAGCCATGCGCCCCCTGGCGGCCATGGTGGGCTCAGGCCTGGGCCGGGCACCTGTGTGGGCAGGAGGCTTGGGAGCCCCTGGCTGGGGGACCTCCTCGCCTTAGGGCCATACCCATCAGGCAGCCCTGCTGAGCGACAGCTGAGCACCGGATCCCTCCGGCAGCCACACCCAGCACAGAAGCTAAGAGGAATGGTCGGGCTCAGGGAAGGCGGAGATGTGCCCGGCATCACAGTTTATTGTGTATAAACCATGAAAATGACAGCTGTTGCTTGGCACAGGCCTCGCAGTCCCTACCACAGGGGGGCAGCAGTGGGCTCCAGGTCTTGCCTGGCCCAACCCAATGGGGACATCCAACCTGCGTGTGGCCCCAAAGGGAGCCGCGGCACATCTGCGTGGGTGCGGGTGCGGGACAAGGGAAGCATGCAAGAGGGAGAGGGGCGTACGGGCATGCGGCTGCAGGGCACGGGGACCCCTACACACAGAGGAGAGGGTCCTCTGCCCCTCCCCGGGAATGCCTAGGCAGTGTCGGCAAAGAGCCTGCCCACGCTAAGGCCATCGGTCAGCATCGGTGGGCAGGCAGCTCGGCAGGGCAGAGGGCGGAGCGGGGATCATGCCCGGTGTTCCGGGAGCTCCCTGCCCATTGGCCTGAGTGCTGGGGAGAACGGGCCGGGGTGGGGGCAGGGCTCTCCCATGACGTGGTGGGATGCCACGGGCAGAGGATGGAGCAGGAACTTGATGGGGTGGGGTCTGGATGAACAGGCAGTGGAGAAATGGCGGTCAGCCAGAGAGGGGAGCGGAGGAGTGTCCCTTGGTCAAGAGAAGGCCCTGGGGAGACACAGACACGGGGGGAAGGATCGGACCACCTGGTAGGAAGAGGCTGAGGGAAAAGCTGCCGGAGGGATCACCCGGCTCCAGGAAGCTCAGAGGGCCAGGGCCTCGGGAGGCCGAGACCGTCAGTCCAGCTTGGCGAAGCCCCCGATGGTGACCTTCCTCTCGGGCTTGCTGCCCACGGGCTCCTGCAGCTGCACAGCACCCCCCCCAATGAAGCAGAAGGCGGGGCACACGGGCCCCGAGCAGTCCAGGGGGCACTCCAGGAGCCCCCGGAAGGACACCGCGTCCAGGAAGGAAACCCGGCCCTGCTCGTAGTCCAGGCAGATGCCCAGGCGGGGGGGCAGGGGCACGGTGCAGCCGGCGGCCGGGCCGTCCCTCCCCGTCAGCCCTGCGCTGGCGCTGGCCCCGGCGCCCAGCAGGATCTTGCCCATGCCGATGGTGAGGAAAGCAAAGGGCGGCGACGCCTCCACCGTGGCATCCTCGGCCCCGCTGTCGTGCCCGCTGTCCGGGTCGTACCTGCAGGAGAGGGCACTGGGTAGCAGGGTGTTGGGGTGCAGGAAGGGGGTGGGGGATGGGTCCCAGAGGGCTGAGGTGTGGGAAGTGCGGAATGCTGGTCAAAAGGGTGGATTTGGGATATGGAGGAGAAACCATGTCGAAGAGACGGGTTAGAATGTAGGGTCGGGGTGTGGTTTGGCAGAAAAGGGCACTGAAAGGAAGTCACGCTGGCACGAGAGGTATCGGGCAAAGGACAGGCAAGGTGCTGATACAGCGCCCTGCAGACGTGCAGCCGTATCAGGAGGAAGCTGTGAGAAGTGTGGTTTGGGGACATCCCGCGGGGAGAGGGTTCTGAGGGTTGGAGAAGCTGGGAGAGTGAGGAGTTTGTGACCAAGTCCTGGTGAAGGAGGCGCAGAGAAAGGATGTGGGAAGGTTAGGTGTTGGGAGAGATGAGGGTAGACTGGTGTCCCGGATGAGAGCTCTCAGAAGGATTGGGGTTGGGGGCCGAGCTGCTCTTGGGCAGAGAGCTGGGAGGAAGGGCTCAGGCAGGAAGGCATGCGCAGGAGGGTGTTAAGTAGGGTGTTAGGGATGAGAGGGTGTGGAGATGGAGAGTTTAAGGGGAGAATTTTAGGGCGTGAAAAGATATGGGTGAAAAGGTATGGGAGAGAAAGGCGTTTGTGGGGAGAGGAGGTTGGAAATGGGATATCGGGGAATGGCGTGGAGGCGTGGAGAGACGGTCTATCTTGAGTGACAGATGGAAGGAAGTGGAGGTGGTTCCCTCTTCTTTCCTCTCCTTCCCCAGCCACACACTCCAAAACCCAGTCCTCAGAGCCCCTCCCCTGACCCCTCCCTCACTTCCCCTGGCCACAGGCCCCGGTCCGGACTTCCATGACTTTACTGCTTCCTCCTCAGTCTCCCCCAGCTCCACCCCAGCAAGTCTGTGCTCCTCTTGCCACCCCATCCTGCCCCCAGCTCCCCACCCCGGGTCCCCCACCCCCTCCCTGCCAGAGCGGCCTGACCTGGGGCTGATCACATCGGCGGCGCCCTGGAAGCTCTCCTGAAGCTTGCTCTCCAGCCCGACGCCCACCTTGACCAGGTAGGAGGCTGGGTCGACGGCGCAGGCCCAGTAGCTGCGGCCCTGAGTCACGGCCACGTCGCCCAGGACCACGTCCACACTCAGGTGGCAGCCAGTGAGCAGCCGCTCAGCGGCCAGGAGCAGGGGCAGCCCGGGCACGCTGCGCACCGCCCGCTGGTCCTTGCTGATGGCCAGCCTCTCCCGGCTGGCGCCCCAGCGGCCGTCGAGGAAGAAGTGAAGGACTGGAGTGGGGGAGGTTGAGACAAAAGGAAGGACCTCAGGGACAAACTGGGGACTGAGGCGTGAGGACAGGACACTGGGAGGTTTCAGAACATGGAACGCGCTGCCCAGGGCGTTGGGAACAGGGCCCGGGGAACTGGAACGAGGGGCACAGGGAAGCAAGAAGTGGAGATTCCAAGTGGGCATGGGACCCCCGAGGAGTCGAGTGATGACTCGTCGACACGGAAACCGGTCCCCAGACCAGCTGACTCACAGGGCTTCCTCTCACCCCTTCCCCCGGCTGTTCCGTTCCATGTGGCGACATCCCCACATCTGCCTGCACCTCCCAGCCCACACTCTGGTGCTCACATCTGGTGCTGACATCCAACCCCTCCCTCATCCACCCCTGGGTGGCAGGGGTGACAATGCCTGTGTCCCAGGGTCCACACTATGTTCTGGACAGTCATTGTACTGTCACTTATTGAGCCCTTACTTGAGGTGGAAACTCTGTTAAGACTTTACATGAATCAATTCAGTTAATTCTCACAACAGCCCTCTGAGGTGAGTATTGTACATACCCCTACAGAAGAGGAACTTGAAGTTCAGAGAGGCTGGAAAACTTGCCCAAAGCCATACGGTTGGCAAGAGGCAGAGCTGGGATGCGAACCCAGCAAACCTAGCTCCATAGTGAGTGAGTGTGACCCCCGGCATCATCCCGTCTCTCCAGCGCTCACCCGGCCCGGCCGGTCAGTGCCTGGGCCCCAGCATGCCCTGTGCCCTGTCTGTGCCACCCTGTGCCCACCCCTCGGCCCACTCACCGGGCGCTGGGGGGGTGTGCAGGTGCACGTCCTCACTGTACTCGCCATAGCCAGCCTTGTTGCAGCCGCGGACACGCAGCACGTACACGGAGCCAGTGTCGGGGTTCTCCAGCAAGGCACTGGTGCCCCTCACCTCCTCCCGCCGCTGCCAGTGGGCGGGGCCCGGCTGGGCAGGCACGTCTGTGCGCCGGAACTCAATGGTGTAGTGCCAGGCAGGCGGCGAGTGCGGGGGCAGCCGCCAGCACAGGAAGATCTGGTCGTAGGCGAAGGTGCGCTGCGTGTCGATGACCGGAGCCTCGGGCACTGTTGGGAGAGACAGTCGGGTCAGTCGGGATGGCCGCTGGCCGGGCATGGAGGGAGGCAGGAAGAGGGAAAGCAGCGGGAGCCGGGGGGTGAGTGTGGGTGAGAGGGACTGGGGAGAGACCCAGCTGGGCCCTGGGCAGGGATGGGCAGGCAGAGCCCAAGGGAGGAAAGAGGCAGGTGCTCGCTGGGCAGGCAGGAGGCCTGGGTGCTGGTCTTGTCTGCGCCCTGGCCTTGGCCAGTTACCTCCCCCTCCTGGGCCTCAGTTTCCTCCCTGTCAAATGAGGGCCTCAGGCCCGAGGGAGACCCTTCCTTCTATGACCCTTTTCTTCTAGGAATAAAGAGCATCCCCAGGGAAAGGCCACTGGGACCCAGGCAAGAGGGCACTGAACGGAAGGAGGGGACAGAGCGGGAGGGAGGGGGTAAGGGTCAGCAAGACAGAAGGGGGGACAACAGAGGGCGAGCAAAAGCTTGATGGCAGGAGACAAAGGTCAAGGAAAAGAGGAGAAAAGTCTGAGGACAAGGGTCATAAGGACAAAGGGCAAGGACTGGACAAACACCTAAGGAAGGCGGAAGAGAGG